CTTTTAATTAAATTAGTTTACATTCTGAAATTGTTCTTTAATATATTAGCACAATATCCCATTGACATTACAAAAAGTTCATAAAAAATATACATATCTTTAAAAAAAACATTATTTATTGATTAGATAATTACAAGATAAAAAAATATTAATTTTGAGTAAAAAAGAGACTTACGAATCTAACATGTTTGAAGTGTAAACAAATATTGACTCACAAATACAGAAAAATATTTGTCAAATTCATATTTAAATATTCAAGAATGTTTTAAAATGTCATAAAAAATTCTATGTCTATGTTAAGCATTCCCTTAGCGAACAGGATACATTCAGTGAAATACTTTCACACATTCCTAATAACACTCTTTATTAACATTCACTAAACATCACATAGCGGTAGCAGAAGTTTGATTAACTGTTTGTCCTACGACAAAGTGCAATCCTTTGGCCGGAAGCGGACTGTGGTTAGATGATTGTATCACAAGCCACGTCATAACTTTTCTATCCTTTACAACACCACTCTTTCTGATATATCAGAATGTAATCTTCATATTCTTTTCCGTTTAGTTTTTTACACTGTTTATGTATTCCTTAATATCAACTATGTAGGTACGACTAATACGTACACTCGCAAAAACATCCGCTGGGCGTACGTGTTGTATATCTTTCACATGAAATCAAAGCAGTGATTCTCAACCACTAATCACATATTATAAAAGTTTAGAATAAACTTAATTTAAAATTTGATTCAATAAAATTTACTTACTAGGTCATCCCAAACGTTTCCACGGTTTTAAGCCGTTCATTTTGAAAAAAAAACCACGGAATTAATGCTCTTGTAATACGTTGGAAAAAGTGTATCGAATGTTATGGAAATTATTTTAAATAAAAATATTTAATTGCTGTGGAGTTATTTTTCTTCAAATTAAACGACTTAAAACCGCGGGAACTTTCAGGATGGCCTAATAGTTTAATATCATACTGTACAGTTACGAATTAAATTATGAAGTTGAAACAATAAATCTGTGATTATCAGAATTATTTTGTAAAATATGTTTAATCAATCATATTATTGTTCAAATGTTTTTTTTAGTTAACGAAAGCTGTTAATGCCCTTGATCAAAAAGGAGAAATGCCTTTAGAAGTTGCTTTAAAAACACGTCAGCCATCGTTAGCACGTACTTTGGTTAAACACGGAGCCGATTTAAGCGCGAAAGATTCAAAAGGTCTTTCTTTACTTCAAGCTGCTATTTTTAAAGGAGACTCGTATTCGGCAGAATTTATAATAGACCAACTAGAAAATAGTGGAAATATGCAACAATTATGTGAGGCTGTAAAGCTTACAGGAAATATGCGAGACATAAAAAATCTCGAAGAACTTGAAGGGTGCACTGCCTTACATTTGATAACAAAACATAATTCAGAAAATATGTTAGCAGTTGCATCTCGATTACTCCAAGCTGGAATCAATCCTAATTTACAGAATCATGGAGGATGGTACAATTTCTCAATTGTCTATTTCGTTATTAAACTTTTAATTAAAATAATACACTTTTTTTGTTGTCATTACTTCTTATTTTTACAGGACTGCCTTACATAACTGTGTTCATGAAAAAAACCAACCACTTTTTAATATTTTATTACAATGTGAAAACATAAACTTGGATATAACTACCAATGAAGATGACACTCCATTATGTATTGCAATGAAAGTAAATCCATTCAATGAATTTTTTGCTGAAAAACTTTTGGCCAAAGGTGCAACTGCCAATCCTGTATATAAAAATACAGAAGACACTTTGCTACATGTTTTGATAAGGGAATATAAAGAAGAAGCATCATTGTTTTTAATTGACTACTGCAAAGATAATTTAATGCAAAAAAATAATGAAGGATATTCAGTTTTACATGAAGCTTGTAAAGTTGGTTCAAAGAATTTAACACGAGCTTTATTAAAAGCTGGTTTTTCAGTTGACAATATTGCAATGTCTACTGGAGATGCACCAATACATATTGCTGTTTCAAATTTCTATTTTGACATTGTAATGGAATTATTAGATGCACCTAATTCGAATTTTCAACTGGATTTAAAAAATAATGCAAATGAAACACCTTTAAGTTTGGCTATTAAAGCTCCATTTAAAAAAAGTAAAGATATTGTTTTAGCTTTAATAAAAGCTGGAGCAAATATCAATCAATGCAATAAAGAAGGTTTCACATTACTGCATCAAGCAATATTAAAAGAGAATTCAGCAACAGCGATCTTTTTGTTAGAAAATGGTGCAGATATGAATACTAGGTAAATAATATTTGTCATGGTGTTAAGTATTTGGAATGAACAGTATTTAATTTTATATTATTTATATATTAAACAATCTGTACATTGTAGACTAGGTGAAGTTGTAGAAGCACTTTGTAAAAGAGGTGCAGACACTTCTGCAGGATGTCCATTATGGGATGCATTGGATTCAGATCAAGAAGATGTAGCATCTATTCTAGTTAAATATGGAGCAGATACTGATTGTTGGGGTCTTGGTCCAGAGGGTTGTCAACAAACGTTATTACACAGAGCAATTGATTACAGCAAAGAGGATATTGCACAATTTCTTATAAGAAGGTGTGCAATTAAATATTATATTAGTGCGTTATTAAATAACTAATATTAATTGTAAAACTATGTGTATTACAGTGGCTGTGATTTAAATGCACCTAGAAGATTTGGTCCAGATGGTGCTGGAGGTGATGAAGCAAGAGATGAATGTACTCCATTACATTTATGTTGCCAATGGGGTTTTGAACAAGTTGCACAGACGCTTATCGAACACGGTGCTAATGTAAACGCTCGAGATGCAGAGGGAAAAACTCCAGTTCATATAGCCATACAAAATCAACATTCGCAAATTATTTCTTTGTTACTCTGTCATCCCAATATAGACTTAAATAAACGTGATAAGAAAGGTTTAACACCATTTGCAACAGCTTTAACATTTCGGAACAATAAAGCTGCACAGGCGATTTTGGAGCGGCTACCAAAAGCTGCTGAACAATATGACAATAAAGGCAGAAACTTTATACATACTGCTATTCAAAAGAATGATATGGAGAGTATTTTATTCCTACTATCTATACAGGTGAAGATAAATTTGGCAATGATTACTAATATATTTAAATTTATTTTACAAATATTTAGAAATATTCAGAAATTTGAATATTGTTTTATAGGTAGATGTAAATTCTAGAGTTAATGATGTTACACAAACTCCACCTTTACATCTTGCTGCAGTTTTGGGAAATGAAATATTAGTAAGAAGTTTATTTTTGGCTGGTGCACGTGTTAATGATACAGATGCAAACAGAAATACTGCATTACATGCTGCTGCAAAAGCAGGTCATGCAGCAATTGTATCTGCTTTATTAGAGGTGAATACAGTAATTTATATATTTGTTTCAAAAATGTATAATTGCTTTTTTTTTTAATACTTCTTAATATAGTGGAAATATAACTAAACAAATCATATACCTTTTTATTTTAGAATGATATTAACTTTGATGCAGTAAATGCTGATGGTGACAATGCATTGCATGTAGCTGTAAGAGAAGGTCATGTTTCTGTAGTAAGAACACTTTTGATTGAATGCACATTGGATGCAGAAGCAGTAAACCTTAAAGGAAGAAATCCTTTACACGAATTAGCCAGGTGTGGGAAAGATAATGCTGCAACTATATGCGAACTTTTTTTAGAATGTATGTCACAATATCCAGTAAATAATGCAGGTAAAGGCACATAGAAATATCTTATTTAAACATATTAAATATTAAATTAAAATATTCTACAAGATATGTAATATCAGTTATTCCAATGCAAATATTATTTAATCATTTTATTACAAACTAAATTAAACAAATATATTTTATTTAAGATTTGGATGGTAATACGCCATTATTAATAGCTTACATGAAAGGCAATGGTCAGCTGTGCCGCACTTTAGTAAAGGCTGGTGCATGTTTAGGTTCTATGAATAAAGAAGGCATTACAATTTTTAATTATCAAGTTGCAACAAAACAATTATTATATAGACTGCTAGATTCCTTGACACTAGAAGCACCATGGGCTGATAAAGATCTTTGTTTGGAATGTGGTACAAAATTTTCACTTACAATGCGAAAACATCATTGGTACAGAAAATAAAATTTTCACATAATTTTATCAGTATGTTAAAAATTGGTTTAAAACTAATTCTTTTTATTGTTTTTAGCCGTCATTGTGGTCGAATTTTGTGTAATAAATGTTCAGATCAAGACGTTCCAATCTTAAAATTTGGATTAAATAAGCCAGTCCGTGTTTGTGCAGTATGTTTTGATGTATTACAACTAGGTGCAGAGTGAACAAAATTTAAATAAACAACATATTCATATGTAAATAAATAAGTGTCATTCCATATGCATTTCATTTTCTAGAGTTTAATAAATAACTATAAATTTTAATCAACTAACTCATTCATTTATTTTCAATTTTGTATAAAGTACTATGTTAAATGTTTGATTATATTAGTTACATTAATAAAATTTAATTGTACATATTTTCATCATGGATACACATAAATAATGTTTACGTAAAATTAAGTATAATAATTTACTTGAAACAAAATATAGTAATATTTTGCACCATATCTTGAGGTCCTTTTAATAATTGCAAAATTATTAAAATGAATGTACTCCTTATTACTATTATTTTTACAAATAGTTACTATGTAAATTCTAAACAACATATAATTAAATTAGTTCATATACTGAAATGTTCTTTAATATATTAGCACAACATTCCATTGACATAACAAAAAGTTTGTAAGTTCTATGACATTCACAAGATGTTTCAATCTTAAAATTTTGATTAAATGAGTTAATTCGTGTTTGTGCTGTATGTTTTGATGTATTATAACTAGATGACGAGTGAACAAAATTTAAATAAAAAAATGCATATTCACATGTAAATAAATGTCATTCCATATGCATTTCTCACAAAAAATATACCAAAAATTTGTACAATTGTATGTCAACAATACCATATATATTTTTCTGTATTATATAATTATTTTTGTTGAAAGTTTGTTACATTTATAGTTATTAAATTTTAAAATACAGATGGAAAAATGTCGAAAAAAGTAATATTTCTTGATAAATTATTATTTATTCCTAGCATTAATTATACATCTACAATGCATTAAGTTAATGTGTAACATGTTTCTTAACAAAGATCACACAGTTTTAATTAAAGTGTAACCTTATTTAAGCTTACTGAACAGTGTATCTGCTACACAGTGGTCTACACATTGCACATAATCAATTAATTCCTCAAAACAAGTTTCATCAGTTTTAGATCTTGAATTAACACGTTGGTTACAAGTCTCAAGTTTTTCTTGCATAGCAGCACATTTAGGTTTCAATGAACATTTTTCCTATAAAAGAAATA